ACCAGCCGCAACCTAGACACCCACCCCCGATCATGCTGAGGCTTTTGGAGGCAATATTTATATCTGATGTGAAGTAATACCATATCCAGTCCCCGTTAATTAGGCTCAAAACACTAGGCGTTGGGAGAAACAGATCTGACGAAAGTTATGGATATTGTTTTATAAGATGTCCACCATTATTGTATCTAGTCCTACAGAAAACAGGTTTTGTGGAGCAATTGAGTCATTTAGATTTCATTAAACGCATCCATGTTCTGAACTTTAGTATTAATATTGCAACCAAATAGATAAATTTTGCATGGATGAAATAGAGCGCAATCAGTTAACGCTTCAGCGCAGACCTTGTAAAGTTTGGGTTTGCATAACACTTATGCACAAACCGATCAGTATCTCTGTGAGCAGTAGTAGCAGTGAAACTGAAAAAATATTGGCGTGTTCCGATCGATTGCATTTAACTAGTATTATCATTGCTTCATAATCCAACGGGATTGTCGTTCCAAAATACTAAGCAAACACAACCACACAAGTGAGCGATCAAAGAAAAAATCGACGGCAACCTGACTCGTTTTTTCCGATTTACCCGGGTCTATCATGAGGACACACGAAACACCGACTTTGGCGCAGACAGTCAGGAGGGCTGGGGTTATATCAGAAAATTGGACCGGCAGGCACTTTGGCAGACACACCTATCGACCGCCTGCCGGTGCGGTGATTGTGCTATTGCAGGCATGTCTCTGATGCTAGCACGGATCAGTCGTGTGCACATGTGTATTCAGTCAGGGCATCCGCCAGAATCCGAGGGACTTTCACCTGGGGTAAAGGTAACCTAGCGAACAATCATATAACAGACAGACAGACACGTGTGAAGTCATATTGGTTTCTACTACTGCTTTAGTGAACAGACAAGTACTCTACAGCGGTATACGGCCGATTTCGCTGGCACAAATTAAACGCGCGCGCGCACACACACACATCCCGATGCGGTTTAGATATGCAGACATGTGTGGGTGCGCGAGATGCCATCAGAGACAAACAAATTCATACACAAACGGGCACACACGCACCCATGCACGAGTAGTCGTAACACCCACATGTGCTGACAGCACAATGTAGAACTATATAGGTCCGTGCGATCCACAATTTCCGCTTATTCCGGGGGATTCGAAACACGGGAGGTGAGTATTTGTGCGCTTTGCTGCGTGCTAGTTCGTTCGATTGTGTGTCTGTGTGTCTGTGTGTTTATTTTTGTGCAGCCAATGCTATTCCCATTTGGGACGTTTGTTGAGGAAGTTGAAGGGATAAGCTATCTGTTGAAACTGGAAAAAAGAGAGTTGAGGCCGGAATGGCCATATTTTTTATTGTTGTCACGACTCAACCTTAGAAAAACTTGATCTGCTCTATCTCTGCGCCAGACGTGAAGAGAGCTTCGGTACTTTTTTTCGTAATGAACAGACATTAAGTCCTTCTTCTATGGCACTGAAATTGTGCGTGTCTTTGCCCAGATTTGCAGCAGTGACGATCATATTCATTACCCGCGATCGCTGGAAAGACGATTTATGGTACTTTACGATTATTGAGGCAGGCAATAGGCGATGTAGTTATTCACCCACTGAATCTTTTTGTTTTGACGCTTATCTGGACAGAAGTATTTGAGTTCTTAGGGGTGAATTGAATCTGTGGACGATTGGAACTCCACGTTTTCGTAAGTGCAAAAATCACTTTACACAGTTTAACATGCTTCAAACATTGTGAGATCTGGGCATCCCTTATTAGCTGTCTGATGGGTGATCCAACAGTGTTAACATCTTTCATCTTCTTCAAAATTCGTAAGTGTCTTGTAAGTTGGGTGCAAATTAGTTCTCCAAAGGCAGTAGATTTCGAGGTAGCAAGGAGCAAGGGTACGATTACCGTCACCCGCTCTCTCTCTCTCTCTGTGGCCTGATTCGATGGAAGTCAATGGATCCCAGGGATCTGTTCACGCCTGTCACTTGAAGTGTTGTCCCTAATGACGTTTGGATGAGACTCATTTGTAACCATGTGAATTCGTTTCGTTTTACACCGTCTTACTGAAATCTGTAGGCCTCGGTTACCCTCAACCTGGTTTCACTTGTTGATCGAGTCGTGTACGGAGGCGTCACCGCTGATGCACAGCTCAGTTTATCGAAATCCTAAGGTTAGACTCTTTTTAATGAGGCAGACTAAAGATATGGAATGCGCCTAAATTTAGGACCTTTTTCGAACCTCAAATTATTGTGAGGTTTTTATCCTTTGTCGCACATGCAATCACGTGTGTTCACTCCCCCGTTTTGTGTCTGTTCCATACAGCCTTTTGAACTTCGCCTCATACGGGAATATGTCGTCCTCTTACAAGGGTACTCTGACCTATCCGCAAACGTTTAATCCGGATGCGGATGCAGACGCCTTGTACAAAGCGTGCAAAGGAATAAGTGAGTGCTTCCTAAACACCATTGATACTGTTTGTTTTTCGCTTGTGCTTAGTGATAGATTTAATCAGGTGCTAACATATGGACTTCCAAGACGTGATCTGGTCCGCGATCAACCCCATCGGATTAGAGAGTTCATAGGGAATATTTTATTACAAACTTACTCTTCATTTAAATGACAGTAAGTACTTTGACTACCGCGCACCCGATCAATGATTCAAATATACCATGCGCGGTTGAGAGTAATATATTTCATTGGGAAGAGGCACGACCGTCAGTGAACTCGTGATATTGCTTCAACCATAGAATTGTCGTGGTTGTTAGCTTGTGCAATCGAGATAGCCAAGCAGTCAAACTAATTAAACATTTCTCTACCACCGAATGCGTGAATGTACACAAAGAGCACTTGCTAATTCCAAGGTGTGTGCAGGTCATAGCCATATTAGGGATTGGTGTAGTGAGCTCCATACACAACAATCATTGCTGCTCAATATGACGGGCATAGTGCATTTCTAATGTCGCAGCCAGTGCTGAAGCGCCCTTCGTCATTCCTCTAAATTTTGTAATTAGCCCTACCGAAAATATGCTTGGGGATGACACTGCATTGTGGTCCTGCTGACGGCGATCGATGAATGAATAAATGTCTTTTTACTTCCTTTTTTATTTATTGAATATACAATCATACGGGCTTGTTTCAGAAAATGGGCCGAGGACATACAAAAGCTGCCTGAGATATTACAGAAATGGAGAAGAAGGGTGACAGGGGAATATATATATATTATGATGGTGGGGAAATGTGATTATTACTGAATCACTGGGAAAGGAATACGTCTAGTCAAAGTAGTTTGAAGAAAACCAAATCTAACTTCCTCTCGTTAAAATGATTGAAAAATCCTTCTAATAGGGTGCAATTTTGTCTTTAATTCTTTCTTACCGTGGCCAGTTTGAACACTACGAGCAACGAATCAAAAACTGACATCTCAGTGAGAAAAGAAATAGAAACGCACTCTTGAACCATACTCATTTTTTTATTACTTCAATTAAATTCACTCATGTGCGGGAGTGATTCAGTTCCAACGCTGTTTAGTGTAGACAGTCGTGAAACTGATCGAATCCAGCTGTTCCATCTGGCTTCAGTTCTGCCCCTCTCTATTTTGTGGTTTGTTTCTGAACGTACCATCGTCAATTCTGTCCTGTCGTAATCCATGGATGAAAGAAAATCCTGTTTGATTTGAACTTATAATAATATTGATGATAATGATGATGATGGTGATGATGACAAACGTGTGAACTTCTCGTCCCTACTTCACATTTTTCGGTTGGCTAACCGAAGTGAAAACTTAATCACGCCTAATTCACTTAAGAGTTGCTGAAATTTTGCTACACCTTGATGTCAGTTTTTTCAACCTTAGTTCCTAAGCGGCATTAATGACAGACTGATTATATGGTAAAGTTTAGCAAGCTCTCTGTTTGGCCTGTTACTTTTGCATGTGTCATGTGTGATGCTTTTTTCGGAGCTTTTGTTTACAAGTAAAATGTTCTATTTTCGTAAATGTTTCAGCTTCATCACAACACGCCCATCGTTGGTCCAAGTATTCAAAAGTAGTACTTACAACGTTTAATTGTGGTGAATTAGCTTTCCATTATTCAGCACCTAGTAGTAGCCTCATGCTTACAGAATGCCGGGGATTTGGTTTTTATCGAAATTCGTTTGAACAGAAGCAAACAACGAGTAGTTTTCACACGAACACGGCACGGCATCAATCGACATTTGGAGATGAACACCGAAATGTTGCTCCGTTGGAACTAACATAGTTGAGTTTGAGATGAAAAGGATACGTAATTTTGTTATCTGATGTTATTTATAATGTGACCTGTAAAATTTGGAGCTTACCACTGTCGTGAGCGTTTGCAGTATGTTGTTGATATCCAAACTGATAGAGATCAAGTAACGAAGTTCTTCGAATCCGTAGCCTTCGTCCTGGTTGACGATGTGTGACCTGCATGAACCACCAGCCCGGTTCATGCGCTCGATCCCTAAAACTGTTCAATTTACACCCTTCATCGAAACAGCTATCGTATTATATATCCGTTTGTGGTTGTCGGACCAAATGAACTGATAAACTGTCATTGAAGTTAAGATATGAGGATAGAAAATAGAATTTCGATCAGTCCTGAAGTGAATTGGTTGCCACATCGGTAATAAATATATGCCATCTGTGCAAGAATTCTCGATTTTGATTTGCGGAGAGATTATTCGCTATTGGTGAGTTTTGACAAAGACAAAGACAAAGACACAGCTCAGTTCTTTTCGATTCGCGAGTGTATGGATTGGTTGAATGAACTGAGGATTGTACGCGCGAAGCTCAAGTTTGAATGACAGTTCATCAATCGACTGTGTCTTTTGTACGCGGAACCCGTAAAAGCAAGAAAAATACCGAGTGCAGAAAATAGCTTTTTCATCGACTCTTTTTTTAAAAAAAACAAGAACAAATTTGTGCTCTTTAGTGGGTACTCCATTCCGGTTTTTGTAGACAGTGAATAGCGGTGGTCAGTGTTCATCCTACGGCGAGTGTGATACCCTGGGAATGCCTCAGTATGCGACTCACAATAGCTGTTTCTTTGGTCCCCTTATTCTATGATGCGTTGCAATTCTGTGATTTGAATGGTGTGACGTAAGATCCTTGTCTGATCGCAACACTTTTCTGCTTTATTAATTCCGTCCATTTTTCCAATGACAGCAGTCTAAAGGGGCTGTTCTCCATCAAAATAATTGACAGGCAGAGCAACACAGTGAAACGAAGCTTTGGACAATGATCATTTCTAGACTATCTTATCCTCAGTCTGGTTGAAAAATCTATCTTCTTTCAAGCTAATCGTGTTTTGTTTGCTGTAAACTGTCCACTGGTGTATTTTGTGCATATTTCTGTTGATAAAGACCGACGGTCTTGTTGACCAACGAGGCTGCCCATGTTTGCCGTTCAGGGGCGATAATAGTTAAGTGATTCAGGCCACTATCGTGCGTAGGGTTTGAAACCTACCACGAATGGCTTGAACAGTTCGATAACCATCCGGAGTTGCCTATTATGAAATGTTTTTTCATTGTCGTGATATCCTAAGAGTACACTCACCACATGTTCAGAACCGCATCCAAAAAATTCAAGTTACCATAGCACATTACCCTGTGCATCATTTCCGGTAGATGAAATATCGGAGCATAACTGAAATTACTCAGTATTTGATGATTGAACGATGATGATAATTTTTTGTTCGAAAAAAGCTGACTGCACATAAGCGAAGTAGATAGCTCGGGAAATAGCTGTCGTCAAATGTGAACAATTATTTTTTATATTTTATGTGACTCAGTTTAACACACATAACGATCTTCTGATTTCGATCCATTTATTGACTAAAATATTCTTTACTTGTTCGTGTTCGTCTAAGAAATTGAAGTAAGTGGTAAAACATAATTTGCAGACATCCGTCTTATCCGAAGCAGTCGGCTCCACGTGACGCACTGAACCGGAAAACGAAAGCTAATCGAAAGTCACAAGACAGATCGATGGCGTACCTTGGATGAAGCCAGAGAAGGGGGGTTAGGCCACCGAATTGTTTGAGGAGCTGATGAAATGAATGGTTTCAATACGGGTTGAACACGATGAATGATGCAAGTTTCTTCTAGTCGAATTAAGTTGGTAAATGATGTCATATATCAAGCTATTTGCGGAAATCTCATCTAAACTTTTTTATTATTAATTATTATCATTAATTTACATCTTTTCACTCAGATACCGATGAGGATACCATCAATGCTATTATCGGGCATCGCAACCAAAAACAACGGTTCGAAATTCGAGAAGCTTATTATCGAAAATACCAAAAGGTCAGTTTTGATTTTTCTAATTCTGAAATCGGTATCCGGTGTTTGAAGCTTTTTGATCCTGTCTTCTGTCCTGTAATAATCATCGTACATCAATTGTGGACCCCACCGAACTTCTGTGAACTGACTCCGAATATATGAATATTGTTATGTTTTGTTCATTTAACTATCTAGCACCGATTCAACTTAACGATCCGGTCAACCGGAATAGAGAAGCGGTGAGAGAATTACGAGAACCCTCAGGATAGTGGATGTTATTGCAAACAATATACCTAGATGTAATAATGTATGACCATGTAATCTGTAATCTCATCAAGTAAAAACGTGAACAGGTTCACCGAACCGAATGCTATATCATTGGGATTCCTGAATTCATATTGATGTTTGCAGTAGATTCTTCCAGGCGTGTTCTTTGACCTCGGCAACTGAACAATAAAACACAAAAGCGGTATTGTATTTCGACGATGCTTCTCAACTCACTGATAAGTCGGTAAAGCAATCCGGACTCCGGAGCATGATATGAAACCTGACCCTGCCTGCATTCCATTTTTTTTTACTCTGGTTCATAAATATCCTACTGGGTTTAAATGAACAATGAGAAAAACTTCAAAGAAAAACACGATCAGGTCCAGAACATTCTGGAAAATCAGACCATCAAAGATCGTTGCGATTGAATTTCGATGCATGTTTTCAAACAAGCTATCGAGCGTATTTCACTCGCTCTGTATGCTGTATCTGATAGACATGGTTTTGCTGTCATTGAAACTTCCTAAAGATATTAAGATATCTGAACATCAATTTTGAAATATTGAAGTAATATTTTTCAGTAGTATAAGAAAATTAGTCACAGTGTTCCTTCCTACTACTACGGATAGTAACTTATCACATGATTCATACAAGACTATCAAGTCAATTAATGGGGTAAAACTTCAGACATTTCGTGACCACATAAGTTATGCTTGCAAGTTAGGGACGTTTAAGTACAGTCAGTGTGTACTAAAACATCGCTAATGCCTACTGAACGACAAAGAAAACGGCAAAATCCATTTTTCTAACCTACAAATGTGCTTCCACGTGTAACCTGCAGAGGAGATTGATTTTCTAGACAGAAATAAAAGGAATAAAGTAACCTTTTCCTTCTCGAAAGAATATGGTCGTTATTAAGATTCTCAAAATGCTGGCTTGGATAGCCTGAGTTCGAACCCCGACACCATCACCGATCTTCCACATTTCTGTATTTCTCCTGGTAACCATTTTACGGTCACGGCTTTCTTCCTAAAACTTGACTGTATAGTGTGTTTGCATACTCATTGACAAAAAATGAACCAAAGTACACATTTATTTATGTACTATATCCATTGCCAATTGATGCACATCACAAGCTTAAAAGTAAATGCCAAAGCAATTAGTCGCCACCTACTTCAAGTTCATGCCTTGCTCGCTTCCCTTTGCTCGTTTCTGCACATGATCATATTTTTTAACTAATCCCAATTGATACATAAGATTAACAGAGTATTTAATTTTATTACGTAATCAAATTAAATCCTCCGGGACTCATGTAATAGGTTATCAGGTTCGAAGAGGTTCCAACCAGTCCTTAGATGCATGAGGTGTGATGCCCGGAACAAGCCCGCAAGTATGGGTTGTGCGAAATCGTATATATATAAGCACAAGGAAAACTCGTTTGATCAGCTGATAAATAGTAATAATGATAATAATAACAATAACAATAATAAATTTTGAAATAATGGAGTCTCATACATAACGTTCGTTTGAGATTGGAAATTTTCTCGATTATTCTCAAGATTTACTGCCTTTTCTACCTAAAACTACAAATTCTCATGAACTGATCGTGGCCCTGACAAACGTGTGTTTACTATTTTTGATATAATCACTCAGCCCGGAGGGAATAAAATCATCACACAGATGTTTTCATGCTCATTTGCTTTTGGCAAGCATTCTTCTTTCCCCCGGAAAATTTTTTAGAATGGTTGTGTTTTTGTTCACCAGCTTCCCCCCATGATTTATCGCGATTGCACTGCACCAACTGAATGCTAGCGGTGGTGGTTTGTGCCAGAAAACCGACACGCGCATCGTAGTCGTTCACATTGTGTCTCGAGCTGAGCCATTTCACGCGGTTGCATTCTCAATGCGTCTGATTAACCGACCGTGTCAGACTGGCGGTACACTGGTACAACACCATTATCGGTGCATGCCAATGTTTTGTCATCATAGCCGCCATCATTTGCTTTATCAGCTGCTCTCATTCACGCTGTGGATCGAACAACGTGTGCACTCGTGAATGTTTGTGTGTGTGTATGAAGACTGCGTACTCAGTTACCGGTTCTGCCGTCATGTCACGCGATGAAGTATCCTACGATAGTGATGAATATAACTGCACATCTCGGTTAAGTCATCACAGTGTTATGTGAAGTACACGATGGAACGCGACCAGTCGATCGATTTGAGCGTCTTGACAGGAGCAAGTGCGTGTGTGTGTGTATGTGTTCGTGAGTCACTGTAGACTTGTGCATGTGCACGAACCGTCGTAACCATACTCACAGTAGATACCTTTCAATACGGTGTTGGCACCAATCCCTGGGACATCTTTACCGTGTTGTGGCGCAAAGTGACATCTCACATTGAGTACGATTGCACACAATCACCTGTTCACCTAATAAACACCTGTTCACCGATCTGTTCACATATTCACACAGTTCTACTGAACTCCGGATACCAGTTCTTCACGTCACACCTTATACAGTAAGGCTTGGATCAAATTTCAGATATCCCCAAACACACCTAACGAGAAAGATAGTGCATACGTAGAGGCAGTATTTGAATAACCCATCATACTGCTACTGTCTCTTTTTAAATACAAATAAAATACTTTCAGCTACAAAACCTAATAGTTACAATGTGTCCTTATGTTCTGAACCGGTGTATCTGTACGATCCTTTGCAGTACCATGGTTCTCGTAGATATGAAAAACATCAACATCCGTGTTGGTAGTAAAATCAATTATTTGTGCAGCACTTGCCAAGAGAAAATATTGATTTCGTGAGTTCGAGACTTTTTGTGGGCTATCGATCATTCCAAATCGAGATTGATTTTAAATCGGACTCGAGTTTGGACTCTCTCACTTCAGAAGATTCGAACTTTCACTCCATATTTTGAACCATCTGCACCCGAAACATAGAATAAAATCAAGCTGTCGAACCAATCTGCTCTTATTAGCTCACCAACCAATCAAACGGTAAATAAAATGAACGCCTGTTAACTTAGGATGGTCCAAAAAAGTTGCACATTGAAATTGATGCTAATCACAATTTGTTTGTTCTGATTTTTTTTATTCCGTTCATCACTTGGCAACAGGATTTAGTCGAGGTGTTGAAGTCAAACACCAAAGGTGACTATGACAGTCTGTTGCAATCGTTATTCCGGGGGCACATGAAACTCCTCGCCTACGATTTGTTCAAGGGAATGAAAGGAACCGGGACCAATGACACTGTTCTCAATGAGATTATTTGTTGCTGTAATAATACCGAGATTTATATGCTGAAGAAAGCCTATGATGAGGGTGAGTTGTTGTCTCTGTTGATCTACGTTCCCGTTTCATTCTTGATTTCGTATTCATCTCGCAAACAGATACAGCACATCGTTTGCGGGGTCACAAAATCCACTGTCTTACGAGCGATTCCTAACTTGACTGTTAAAGGCGATACTGGAACACCTGTCTGGTGCTTATTAGATTTTAAAGGAATCTGCGCGTGAAAGTGAACTGAATCATGAAACCTTGCTACGGCGTATTCGGATCAAGAGTTGCTAGCTCGATCAAAAAAGATACGACAGTTGATCCAGTAAATCTCGTATGACAGATACTATTGTTAGGTCGGCTGAAAACAAAGTTTGTTTGAATATTTCATACCGAACTGTGAAGTATGATGATATGGTAAAATCTGCTAGTGAACACTAGGCTTCATACGGATTATGCAGACAGGACTTTGAATACAGGTCTAATCGAAACTGAAGCAACGGGCTTCTGTAAAACACTTGAGGGTTTGTGTAGGTAACAGCATGTATACTGAAGTAAATATTTTTGTCCGAATACTAATGATGCTATTATTACTACTACTAATAATATATAATAATATAGGTGATAAATATAATGAAACTCAACTTGATCGGAAAAACATATTGTAGTGCATAACAATCGACCGGTACTGTAGATCAATACTTGATGACGAATGTGGGACTCTGAAGCGTATGGGTATCGGGCAAACCGTCACAAACCCTGTTTCGGCACAGGACTCGTTGAAAGACCATACCTCGTTCGGGACGGTTTCACGAAATGAGACCTATTCCTTTTTGAAAACAATGGGTTTTCCTTAAAGAGCGTGCTTGCTTTTTACCTGCGAAATTCTGCGTTCGCGCCTCAGTTGGATCAACGGCATCAACAGTAGTTGCTGAGACCCAAAACGGTCAAATTGATTCCCCCAGTTTTCATCCTCATTTGCTGCGTTGTGCATGCTATCAAATTTGTTGTGAACCGAGAGTAAGTATCGTTTCCTAGTCACTTTTGAAGAAAAATTACCGTATACAAATGATTGTTTTGCTACCGTATGTTAGTAACCGATAACATTTCAACCGCTTTATTATAATATTCTAAGGAATAAACTATCTCTTGGTTATTCCTTCTGCGGTTTGGAATTAGAAAGATCTCTAAAAAATCGGATTCACTCGTGTCAGTTTGGATACACTCCCGTATACATGCCCTACATACATCACGTATACTGGTGTAGTAGCCATGGCGCTTCTTGGCCCCCTAAAAGTCCTGTTTGCTCATCACGTTGTTATGGTCAGTGATTCTCTCATTATAAACTATAAACTACACGGGTATCCTCCGGTGAGGTCTTTCCCTCGGTACGTTGTTGTGAATGTTCAGCAGAACTCCGAACCAGGGTGAGTGATATCCGTGTTAAAAATGAACACATGTGCAAATAGAATGTGAAACCCCGTGTGCATACAGTTACGGGGCATTAGACATCTACTTTTGTGATGCGGGATCAGTTACATCTATGCGGTTGGTTATTGCCCCAGCCTTCACCCCCCACCCATTCACCCCCTTCAACCCAGTGCATATACTGTGTGGAAATGCTTATCTTCAGATGGCTCAGGAGAATCACATTGTAAGTTTCCGTGTTTGGTATTCGTTTGCTGTTTGATCCGTGTCAGAAGGATGGTGTTTACGTTTTGCACTTGTTACCAAACCTTCTCCACTGTGCCGCAAGAACAATATGAGCATCACTATTCAATCGTGTGTGAGAGAGATCTGTTTTAGTGCGTGGTTCAAGTGGAGTTTAAAGACAGCACAACCGGCAGGGTGACCTTGAGTTTAAGGTTATCATCCTAGGGGTGCGTACATCCATTCAACCAATCAATCGGTTTTCCGACTATGGTTTTAATTTTTGACATTCCTGATATCAGAACATGGACTCGGTCATATTGGAAGGGACACAAACCAAGCTGTTCGGGGTGCGCGACATTTTGGTTTACCAGACAGTTGTGTTTTATTTTTCTTATTGTCAGACAACTGTGTGGATAATTAAATTTTGTCTGTCTGACGAAGTATTAAAAACCGGTTCTCCTGGCTCGGGTGAACTGAATTTCATTTCGTCCAGCTTGGGAATTCACTTGCAAACCAGTCGAGGTGACATCTTAGGTGGCCATTTCACAAGCACTGAAAATGTCACCCCGGCTTGCGATGAAAGGCTTGCAAAGAATTTTCCAGTCTCGATGAACAGGCGAAATAGAATTCAGCTCTGTCTGTTTGGACCAATATCGCCTTTGATGTGAAGAGTCTCATCTGAAACGATCGTTGATTTGATCGATATCCTACTCATCTGGAAGTTGTTCTTACCTGTGTCGTGTTTTCAAGGCACACCGTATCATCAATAAGACCCAGTTGTTACAGGTTGTATTCATCTAGGCTCAGGTAGCGGCGAATCGAAAATTATCGGAAAATGAGCGGCTACATATCTAGTTAAAAGCATCTGCAAGTGAGAAATAACTTCAATTAAAAAATGGTTTGAGATTTACTTCTTGACCTCGTCTACTTTCCTGTAAGATCAATCGGCACGTCTCATTGAGAGGCTTGAATTGTGGGCACCATCTGTTCGTTAGTCAAGGTTATTTATCCTTTTCATCAGCTCGTTTGAGTACTGATAAAATCTCATATTTTTTTAGCACAAAGCCAACCCCTTTGCATTATCATTGCAATCAAATTAAAGTCACTCGTGCAGGCATCGTGCAGGCATAGATGATTTTTACTCATAGCATTTCAACTCAGCACCTGATGCACACAACGAGATTTCTGCGACACGAAATTAAATCTCTTCAGCCATATGACTGTGTGTGATATGAGTTCTCTGTGAACGGTCAATTTAACCATTTCCTGAGCTTTGACATTACGCGGCTCATCATCACTTGTAAATTTGAATAGAGGTAACTTAAAGCACTCAGCGATTGGTGAATAAGCCGGTGCCCAAGTTCGTGCAACAGTTTGTGTCTAATCTTTGGTCAACGATAAAAGAACTACCCGTTATTTCTTGACCATGTCGGATGACAACATCCTTCCGGCATGCGAGTGCACAATTGTAGCCGTAAAACCTGATGGCAACATATTTATGTCAATTCAAAGACTGTGTTTAACAGTGAGAACAGTTTTCGGTAGCCGTTAACATCAATAAAACAGAAATGAAGTTATTCGGATACACTGAAATGAGGGTTGAGTTGAGTTAAGCGCATACCAAATGCATTCCTTAGTATGAGAGTGAGTATATCGAAGACTACGTATATCTTCGCTTGGTCGGCTGCTGCTCTCAAGGAGTTGGGAACTGCAAAGGAATCAACACCGTGGTGGTGTAGTGGTTTAGTCGCTGTCACCGGTGTGCTTTGGACCCTGTCGTCCGAGGTTCGAGAACTGCCATCGCCATCCAACTTTGGTGGTAGAGAGCTTTGCTATCACTCGGTTCTATACCACGCCTGACCTAGCGGGGCTTTATGTGATTTGTCACTCCAAGTCCCGGCGATCAGGTTGCCGGTTACCATCACTGAACAGCAGGACTTCGGAGTGTACCCCGTCTGCTGTTCATCACACACTGGTGTGTAGTAAGAAAACACGTCTTATACTGGGACATCTTCATAATATATGGAGACTAAAAGGTCTAATACTTAATTTGTACTCATTATTTCCCTGATGATCTCGTTCTTGTTTGACGCAGTATCCGACTGTTCGGTCTGCTCGCGTCACTCTGGTCACTGATACAAAGTCACCGGTCACATTAATTTCAGTCTAACCTGTTTTGTTCCTCTCTCTCTCTATCCTCTTTTTCAACAGTTCTACGCGAGGAGGAACCGAAAAGTAAGTGGTGTAAAGTCACGTGCCACATCTTCTGACTTATCTCATTACTCGATCACCATCACCATGATTATCATCATTATTCTCGTGTTCCCCACTCCCACCGTCAGAGGCTTCGACTCGCAGTCTTGAGGGTGATGTGACGAAGGAGACTAAACCGCCTTACGAGACTTTGCTTCTCCGGCTATTGCGTGGTCAACGCGAGGAGGACTCGCAAGATCGAATCGATCAAGCCCATCGGTCGGGCAATATTTCGATGCTCGTTAATGAGCGTAAAGTGGAACAGGACGTGCAGGAATTGTACAATGCCGGTATGGGGTATGTATCTGTGGTCGCATTGAACTCGGTTACTTATCTTTTCCCATTAAATATGGGAACACTGGGGCGGTGGTGGGGTGGGATTGATTTCAAACGGTGAAAACGGTGAAGCGTATCGAGATGAAATACATGTAACCGTTTTAAGATATGTTGGTGTAACACTCAAGATGTGTAAGCATTCAGGACTATTCCCTTAGCAACAAAATTCATTCGTCCTGCGAGAAAAATCGAATGAGCCTTGTATTCCATATTGATAAAGACCAAATGTTTTCGATATATTAAAAAGAACTTTGAAGCTGACTAAGATGCATATATGATCGCACATCTTCGAGTGTCTTATATAATAATAATAATAATAATAATAATAATAATAATAATGATATTATTATTATTATAGTGTACTCTGTAAAGATGTTTTTTTTCGTTAACGCTCATAATTCACCGGGATAGTGAAGGGTATGCACTGTACTGTTGTCCAATCATAGAATTTTGATTTTAATGGAGTGATCTGATCTGCTGTCTTCAGCTAGTGGAGTCTGAAACTTTCATACTCAAATCCCATAGTCACGAGTGCACCTTAGTTACGGCCAGTAGCTTTGTTTGTTACTGTATAGGCCGAAAGACAACCGGTCCGATCAAGTGGCTAGTATGCTTACGTTATACCTGTGCTGAATTCCCCGGGTTCAATCTCCAGTTGGATTAATGGATTCCCAATGCGCTGAGCCAATCAGACTAAAGCAGCTGTTCAGTGCATAACAGCGTTTAGGTTCAGGCTTCATTCAATCTGAAACCAATGCAATTTACAGCGTAGTCCAGTCAAGTCCATCAATAATCTATTGTAACTGTGAACGGCATCAAACGAACCATGTTCATACCACATGTTATACGCTTAATTGGTGCGCATAATAATAATAATAATAATAATAATAATAATAATAATAATGATAATGATAATAATAATAATAAAATTTTGATTTCAGAAAGAAGCAGATCAAATCGCCTTACTTAAATTTTGAACCAGATAAACTCAGATGAAAATGTGACCTTGAGAAGTGCATTTAGACGCACAATCGCTTATTGCTTATTTTGAGTTTCAATCCAGGTGAACAATGTGTTCACCAATTACGTTGTGTTCTTCAGAATTCACTTCAAAATTTATTACACGAAAAGTTTGAACAAAAGACACCCCTACCCCGACGTATTGGCACCAGAATTCGTATAGGCGTTCGCAAGGCGTTAACTTCTAAATCGGTGGAACCAGTACAATGAGCCAAAACAGTTCAGCCATTATTTTGTCTGTAAACAGATTCCAAATCTTAAGTAACTCGGGGGAACAGCAACCGAACTGCTATTAATCCGTTCGTTACCACCACCTCCTCCCCTCTCCCCCCCCCTTCGAAGCTGTTGTTAGCCATTTCTGATGCAATGTACTAAATGAAATCGGATATCATTTGGAGTAAACCTCTTAACGAATTACGTAATGACGAATGAAAGACACAACAGGGACACTGAAACCCTTATGGATTTGTTTTATGAACCACACTTCACTTCTAGCAAAATCATGAANCCCCCCCCCCCGCCCCCCTTTCAACTTTCTGCCGTTTTCATCTCCCCACACCCTCACCCGTAACGCAACGCAACGCAAATGCAATTCACAGTCAAAGTGGCAAAGGCGAACCGGAGCCGTTCATTCGAATTCTGTCCGATCGAAGCAAATATCACATTAAAGCTGTGTGGGAGGCATACAAGCGTGTAAGTGTTCATTCTCACGGTAACTATTCATCAACATTGAACAGCCCAAAAAATACACATATTCCTTTCCTCTGACACACACACACACACACACACACAAAGCAGACGCACACCACGACCACATTGAATGTGATACGTCCGTCTCAAAACACCATACGTTTTTCATCTTGCCCCCTACCCACCCTATTGCCAATCCCCAATCGTGTCACACCACTTTAGAAATACGGATCCACATTGGTTGAGGCAATCACAAAGAAATTTTCCGATCCCCTTCGCGGTGGTTTGAACACAACACGTGAGTACGCATTTTCACTGCGCCATCATGCTTTTTTGTTTGACTTGGGGCATACGGTGATCTATGGTAGTACCTCATTGATTTGTCCTGTTTACAAAATGACTCATATGTACACATGTGTGGTGGACGGGATGTTTTTGATGATGATGATGATGATGGAAGTGGCGATTGGAGAACACTGATTTGACCGGAATCCAAACAAGAATGATGAATAAACTTACCATCAGCAACTCAAAGTGGCGAAAAAAAATCCGCACGAATCAAATTAAACTTTAGAGTCTATTTTGAGTTATGTGCATTTTTACCAAAGGTTCTGGAAATCGAAAAGGAATGATGCAGAGTAACATGGCTGTTATCACATCCAATTCATTACCAGTTTAAGCGAGATGTGGTAGAATTTAAAAATGCATGGGAGAACAGCGAGCACATGGGTTTTGTATTAAAAAAGAACACGTTTTCGTTGAATCCAAGATGGTTTCACTAATTCATTTTGTCAGAGGTGGTGTCATCTCGTTTAATTTAGGTCTATTAAATCGCTTCGTGTAGGATAAAGTCCAAATTTCAAGAACCCCAATTTGTATCTAGACTAAGTGAAGGTGTCAGTTTGCATATTAACTTTTGTTTTTATAATTCAAACATATTTGAATCAAAGATAAATAGAATGAACTCTTCACCGGTTTGTCCACCCACACAGTGATCTTTTATGTAGTCATTAATGGACATTCGCAAATCACGAGCATCAGGCAGCTGTTCATTCACACACAAACAAAATGGACGAGTCAATGTATCGATCTGATTCGATTTCGATTCATGTTTCAACCGAGTCACGTGACAAGTATTGTACATCGAAACACGATTCCTTAGAACAAGGATGATGGGGACAAAGGACTGGAATGAGATTTAGCATATACCATTAGGTAGACTGCAAAAATCAAATTCCGATCACGCGAATATCTGAAATCTTGGATTTTATAATCCTAACTGTATCACAAATTATCTATTCTTTAGAAATTGATAAATAACACCCATTGCGGACTATATCATATAGGGTTTCTTTCCGAACCATCTGCTCATCTGTATTTCAGTGATGGCTCTCGTCAATTTGCGCCTTCTACTGGTGTGTCAATTACACGAATCGATGTATGGCGTTGGAACCAATGAAGACTCATTGATTCGCCTTGTTTGCTTGAGATGTGAAGTAAGTAGTTTTCCAACACTTCCAAGTCCTAATAACCCATGATGTTTCAACTTCTTTCGTGAGTATGGTTTGGGAAATCGGTATAGGCTTCATTTGTATCTGATTTAATTGTTTACGAACTGATTACCCCAAAACCCATCTGAATACGTGCTAAAATAGCAACTGTATTTTGCAAGGTCAGTGAAACAGTAACGTGACGGTTACAAAGTGTTCACAACGTGGTTGGTGTTTGCAGACCACCAGCTAACTGTTATCCAAGTATTGAAATGATACAACAGGACAATTGTTCAACGTAAATCTTTGCAAAATTAGATCATTATTGTTAACGGTTAACACCGGACAATCACTATGTGATGTAAATTCATCTTTGAATATTTGTTCTTTTTCGTTTTTTAAACAATTTATAGATTGATATGGCCACAATTCGTAAAATGTACCACGAATACTTTGGCAAATCGTTGATCGATGCTGTGAAGTCAGACACGTCTGGTGATTTCCGAAAATTGTTGATCATTCTTCTCGGTGGTTAAGTGCCTGTGCGAAGTGAGCACAATCCCCTGACGGGGTCAGCACGGTGTTGCTCAGCCGGTCATTTGGTGCCCGTGGGACAGTTTCTACCCTCAGCCTTTTTCAAGTGATACACATCGATCAAACCCTATCTG